GCTCCGTCGCATTAAAAGTGTATGGTGGACGGAAAAGGCGAAGCAGATAGAATGCTACGCCGAACGCTAACAACACAAGGAATTCTTTGACTGCTTGAAGGCGGTGGGTGGACCGAGATTGGAGCCGCTGAGAACGCTGATCGATGGTAGTTTAGGCGCTACCTGCACACAGGCTGCAGACATAATGCAGATCTGCCGAAAACACTCTGACTGTCTCTTGAACAAGCGTTCAGAGATCGACTGGCCTACATTGAACAGCCTGAAGCAGCACGATGTGAAGACGAGTCTGGCGGACACGCCGACACTGGATGAGACGCAGAGAGCACTTGCTCAGCTACGAAACGGCAAATGTGCCGGAGGTGACGGGATCCCGCCTGAAGTATTGAAACACGGCGGACCGTGCTGCAGCGGATATGGACGCAGCCAGGTCATATATATATATATATATATATATATATATATATATATATATATATATATATATATATATATATATATATATATATATATATATAAGTGACCTTTTAATGAATGGGCATCGAGCCTAGCAAAACCATAGAAATCAAAGGAAGATGACAGGTTGAATCGTCGCGTCACCATCACCAAGCCACATTAGCTGAAGAGTAGCGACACGCTTTAACTATTGTGCTGCAAGAAAAATGGAACCATTTTTGTTATTTTCCACACTCTATCAAGTTGCTGTTTTGTTTTTCTCGCTCTCTAGACAGTAAGCAATTGAATTTAAACGTACCTGTACACAAACCTTCCACTGGTTTCGATTGCCAGCTAGTTTGTCTACGGTTTTCAGGTATCGGGACTCTTCGTCCTTAGGTCCCCAACCAGACAGGCCTGTGGATCTAATGGCAACAAGGTTTGGCGTCAATGGTTTCACCTTGTCGCCAGGTGGATGGTTAGTCACCGCATCATCTCTTCCAGTGGAGTCCTGCAGGAGCGAACGTCGTGCGATGGGGCAAACGCTCAGTTGAGATGCGCAGGATGCTACCGAGCTATCGTAGCTAGCACAGGAAAACCTTGTTGAATGGAATACTTGCATTCACCAGGAAACGAAGTCTTACTTCCCAGTTGCAGATACGTTGTTGCCAAAACACGGGCAATCCTCATCAAGCACACATTGCTAACGGCAGTGAGTCAGAACATGTCGTCTACGAGAACTGGCCACGACTGGCTTCCATATAGTAACATCACCCGAACGGTGGCATTATAAACACGACCTTTTACCAAGAGGAGACATCTTGTTGACGCCGCAGTGTTTTAGGTTGACAAATGCGGACAAAGCTTTGGTGATGCGAGGAGAAAGTTCCTTGCCAATATACCACCAGCGGCTGCTCAGATATATATAAAGCTCTTCACTTGTTTAAGCTGTGTACCTTAAAAAATGAGCACGGGAATAGCCGAGAGCCAATCCTGGAGCAGAATTTACACTTTCACCGGACGAAGGACATTCCTTACCAAGATGTCTCAGTCACCAAACGGTTTACTATGTTTTCATACCATACTAGTCATTACCAAGTAGGGCGATGTCATCGGCATAATGCAAGTCAGACTCTCGAATAGCCGCTAGTAGATATAGACTAAAATAATGGTAATCTTCCTGAGCTCTCGACACATCTGTTCAATCACAAAGTGAAGAGGAACGGGGAACTAAGCCAGCCCTGTCGTACACCACTAATGACAGAGAAGGACGAAGGAAAGTTGTCATAAAGCTTCGTTCCGTCGGAGACGTGGAGGTAGAGTGTACGCAGGATGACAGTAATCATTTTTAGGTCTCTGTTTCTTAGCAAGTAACGCTATAAAGCAGGTCGAACAAGCTAGTCAAATACATCACGTATGTTTTGGAAGGCAACGATGGTACGCCTCTGGTGGAGTTGGTGATGTTCGAGGGTTTGACGGAGCGTGGAGATATGCTCCACACACTCACACATTTGAACTCACACCCGTACTGTGCTTCACGAATCAGGAATAGTCCACAATGTAGTGTGGATGCGAATAGCTTGGAGGTAAGCGAAATGAAACTCATCCCAGGAGATTACAGCACATAGTGTGAGCACTCTTCTTAAAAATCAGTAACTTACTTGATTCGCCTCAGGGAGAAGACACAGTCTTCATGTCAGATTTTGGAGAACAGTGAGGTTATCTAACTGTTGATAACTACGCAAGCATACTTGAATGGCTCCGGAGGAAATCCGTCTATCCTGCATTCATAAATGGTTTCAAATGTCTTAGCGCAAGGCTGAGTTCTGCTTCGCTGGGTAGATCAAGTGTAACTACCCAAGGTGGATAGCTGGGTTCGTATGGCACACAAGTGTACGGTGAGGGCTAATTGAACTGGTAATGAAAATGTTCAGCCCATAGATCCAAGCGTCTCCGTAGGTAAGCTATAGGCGAATCATTCGTTTCGCAACTGGTCTCAGTGACACCGGGCTTCCTGTGTACATTCGACAGAATGATCTGGAAAAGCCTGCGAGTATTGCAGGAAAAAGCAGCGGCCTACATTTTCGAGGGGCACTGAAACCACCAGGCTTCACGGTTACTACCTATGCTTTGGTTAAGCTGCCGACTGACCGATTAGACTCCACTTAGATATTCCTGCGGCGGTCAGATAGGTTCAAGGATTGTGGGAAACCCAGGCATTCCTTGAGTGCTGAGTAAGTCTACATAGTGACTGTCCGGAAGAGATCAATATCTTCTGTATGAACGTTCGGTTTGCATCATTTTCGTGCGGTAGGTTGTAGATAAGTACATTGGCCAGGAACAATTAATACCTCTGTTAAACTCAACGGCTAGATAGTTCATACCTATCTAACTTACAGTGTTTCTTTTAGGGGGCGCACCGAAACTCAAGCAGATGTTCGTGCAGACAAGAGTTTGGTCGGAGTCAAGAACTAAGGACCACCTTGATCTGCCCCGTCATCTGAAACTGATTACGAGAGGATAAAACTAAGAGCATGACTGAGTCGCCGAAAGAGAGCACAAGGTAGCTAAACATCTTTTCGAATGACTAAGCTAGTACTCGAGAGGAAATGACTGATGTCATTACATAGTGTGCGAAATCGATCTCCATTATCTTAGCGGCTATCATCGCGCACGTGTGGATCACTGATGTGAATTCCATATCATAAAAGATAGCCGACCACTGCTTTGAGATCCCCGGCAGAGAGAAACTTATTGAATTTGTAAGCTCTGCTCTAGAATTGAGGAAATTCACCATAAAAACTGTCCCTGACTAAATCTCAACCGCATTCAGTCGGAGCGTAAGCTGAGATCACAGACAATTTGTGTCCGTCCTCAACATGTCTGTTGGTCCTACATACTTCTCAAACTGCACACACCCCGATAATAATTACCGGAGTAGAGAATTGTCTTATAGGACACCAGCCAGAGCCTTTGGCTTAATATCCTACCCTCAAAGCAGCGCGACAAATTCAGGGAATCGCAGTACATAGTGCTGTGTGCTATGGTGTTCAGAATTTCTCACATCGCAAGTATTGACGTTCGGTAATTTTCATAGTGTATCCCCACGTGTGCTTATCATAGTAGGAGTCTTGTACCCAGTAGCATGTTATTTTAACCCATTCGCGTTTCTCGTTGTCCTCTACTAAACATGTATTACGTGGCTTGTAGCTGCGTGGTGTATTTCTCACTCCTAAGATGTATAAGGAATTCGTTTAATTTGAACGAACGCTCAATATTGCCGTAATACACACTGTCGGCCTCACGTTTGGTTCTCTCTGAGCTCCTGTTGATGTGCTGGACTGTGGTACTGTCTTGCTGCGTTACTGGAACCAATTTTCACGTATATCTTTAGCCTTTCGACTGGCCCTTCCTCTGGACCACTACGGATTACAATAGTACAGGAATGGTGAATTATAACACATTGAAGGTTGACAAATAACCTCACCCACAACCGTTATGCTGTTTAACTTTGGGCGCAACGACAATGGACTTTTGAGGACGGAAGTTAAGCGGCACCCTTGATCATCACGTAGCTGGGATGAACGTAGTTATCAGTTTAGACCCATGTTGGTGGCAGGCCAATGGGATGAGCGCGCTTTACTGACTACAAGTTGACTTCGTATATACGCATCAGTGACCCTAAGCTGACATTAATTACACGCGTCGTTAATGCCAAGCGGACGTCGCATAGTGCGATGACGCCTGAGAATACGCAATAATAAAGTATTAATTGCCATGTGTTTACAGTATAAAATAAACTTTCGGGTATATAAAATAGATTTTGATAGACGCCCAAACATCGTTTTTGACGCTTTGAGAACCACACAACAAAACCGGTAGCAGAAAGCAGAACAGTAATTGTGTTGTCTCACCAGAAGCTGTTAGTTGCAAATACTTGATTTCGAAAACCTCAGGATATCTAGTTCATCGATATGCCTCTATGTAATGGCATATATTGTGGTTTCTGTGTAACCTTAGCCTATTAGCTGAATTCGACGGACCAAATCTTTGCAGCTGATAGTAGTAATGGGTATTCTCCACAGCAAGTGATGATGTTTACGACCAAATTGAAGTTCAGCAAACGAGTTTCAACACATAAGTCACAAATGCGGATAAAATTTATCCGGAGTCATCAAAATATGCGCAATTCCAGCATTGCTGTTACAAAACTCAACATTAAGTTGTCGAATAATGTTGAAGTCGCAAGTTGAGCACTAATGTAGTATACCTCGGCTCTGTATACCTGCGGAGGACATCTAGAGACGTGGGACAGGTGATCTTCGACTGATTTTCCCTGTAGGTCAAATTGCTCGTAAACTTCTCCGTTTATTTAACTAACAGTGCTTAGCTGTCTACATATCAATAATATTATGTGACGTTGCTAACAATAGTCACCAACTCGGTACCGGTCCTGGGTGTTCCAAGCCTTGAATTCCTACGAAAATATGGAGTACAAACACGTGGCGTGTATTCACAACTGATCTTTCTGTGTTGCTCATCATAATACTTCTGCTTAACCCCTACAGGTTATTCACACGATACGAAGTATTACAGACTGGTTGGACGTGGCGGAGGACCGAGCGTTCCAGGTGATGTCGATCTATGAAATGAGCACACAAATCCCGGTGAGTCAGCACACGCATCGCATTGATGTCCATTGAAATACTACGATGAACAATGAACAATGATTTATCACGGGTAAAAAAGCATTTGCTCGACAAGTCCCGTAGGATGGTTTTAGTAAAAATTAAAATTTGAGGGATCATCCAATTAGTAACTCGCTATTTCAAGCTTCCACCGAGTTAAATGCACTACTGCATAACGATAGTTTGCAGTGGGAATGGGATGTGCACACTCAAAATAGTGTAGAGAGCTGTTATAGTTCAGTAAGTGCGTGAGAAATAAAAAATGAAACAACAACGCTTACTCGTTTGTTTCTTCATTTGACAGAGGTGGCGTGTTAATCCAGTTTAGCTACATCCAGGCTAATCGCATGGACACTACTACATGTATCCTCACTGACACGTTGCGGAGGGAACCGCTAAACACATGGTTAGGTTTGCGTTATTTCGTCCTCCAAGTGGAACGAAATTTCTCAAGTAATGCAAGTTTGAAAGCGTTTCATCAAGGAGTTATTTGATAAACATTAATGTAGTGGCAAGGATAACGTGAGTCGGAAGGGCATTCCAGGCACGGGACACACAGAGGGAGAAAACGTTTCGTCAACAATCAACTCCACTGTAGTGCGTAGCCAGTTTGAGTTTTTGGCCTCTCAGGTTGGTGTCTTGGCTCAGCTGCAACAGATTGCGACATGGGTGAGTTGAGTTCGTCAGTATTAAGTAAATCATGATTAGGTCCCCTCACTGACGTCGATATGCACCACTGTACAATCTCAGTGACTGCAGTCTGCGTTGGCAGGAGAGATGAAACAATCCTCTAATGTGTTTGGTCGCTCTACGTTGTGGAGCTTCAAGTGCGTCGACGTCGAGCTTGCGCTAGGGACGCCAGGCCTGGATCGCATATTCCACCTGAGGCCTCACGTAGGCGTTCAGCAGTTGCGGAAAGAGTAATTGCTCAAAATTACCAAAAGCCCTCTGTAAGAGTCTAAGATGTTGACTGGCTCTTTTTGATGCCTTTACAGCCCGTTTTGAGCAACCGAGGTTGCCCTACACGACCATCCGAGGTCGTTTTCTTGAGAAGCACGTTGTAACTGCTGGTCCCCAAGTCAATATACATAGATAAACGGATGGCGTATGCTTACGACTTTGCACTTGGTCACGTTACACTGGAGCAGATTATCGAATGACCATGCATAAGCCCTGTCGAGATCGCTCCACAATGCCATGTGCTCATCCGATGTTCTGCTATTTTGGTAGATTTTGGTATCATCTACAGATAGCAAGAAATTCGACTGCAGTACACTGGCAACCTCGTTAATGAATGTGAGGAAGAAACTGGGCCCCACTACCGATCCTTGAGGCGCGTCACACTGGATGTCAATTGGGTCGGAAATGGAGCTGCGGATTCTCACATTCAGCTAACGTTGAGCGAGTAAGTTGCCGATCCAACCGAGTATAGGGTCTCCGATCCCATAGCCTCGAAGCTTGTGAAGGAGAATGCGGTGGTCCAAACGATCGAACGCTTTCGAGAAGTCCAGGTAGACAACGTCGAGTCCCACTCTATATGGTTGACTCTGTGCAGCTTGCTCGGGCTAGCAGCAAGTTTGAAGTGCGAGATCGATTTCGGCGGAATCCGTGTTGCTGTGACGCTAGGAGGTTGTTACTCGCAAGATATCCCATGAGCACCACTGCAATTATACGTTCCAATACTTTGCAAAACCCTGGGAGAAGAGTGATTGGACGGTAATTCGAGGGCTCCGAATGATTACCACTTTTATAAATAGGACTGACTACTCCATGTTTCCACATTGTAGGAAGCTGCATTTTGTCGAGAAAAAACTTGAAAGAACTGAGTTAGTGGTTCGGCAAGATTCATGGCCGCTGTCTTTAATACCTTCGTTTTGAAGTCGTCCGCGTCAAGTTAGCTGTGCACGCTTAATGACACTACTCTTATCATCATAGTGACGTGCATGAGCGATACGTGGTTTAGCCCCAGTGGCGATGGAAGCTGTGTAAAAAGCGGATGGAATGATGATTCACTCCGGAAAGTATGGATGAAATGTTGGCGAAACACGTTGGCTGCATCTTCTGCGGTTTGCGCAAGACCATCTGTTTCACTTAAAACCGGGATCCCGCGTTGCACTCTGCGGAGCTTGCCGACGTGTCTATACAGCAAGTTGGGATTTGTACTGAATTTCGTCGCTAAGTGCTGTTGGTGCTGGAGTTTGTCTTCGCGGATCAACTTGACGCTGTGGTTTCCCTGAGTTGTGTAAGCAACCCAGGTCAGGTTACTTGGACAGACTTTGTAAGCGTGCCAGTCTGAATCCCTTAAGGCCATGCATTTTCTAGTACGGCTCCTCAGGAACGAATTCGCTTGCTTCGAGCGAAGGACTTTCGTTCTGACACATTTGCCACTAGCTTGGTGGATTGGGTGACGAACAACATCCAGGCAACATCGGGCGGCTTCTCGAGCAGGAAGGACCAGTCGGTTTCTTGAACGCGGTTGGACAGTATATCGTAATGTGTAACGACATAGGTTTCCACGTGTTTCTCACTGATGTACTCCGAGTAACAGATGAAGCGAAAAATCAACATGGCGTGATCGCTACGTCCAAGTGGTGCATCTACGATCACTGTGTCGACCACTAGTTCCTCGTTGGAGAGTATATGATTCAAAACAGTGGGTGCATCACCCGTTCGGAATTGCGTGGGTGAGATGAAATGGTTGTACAGAGGTACATCGGCAGTGAGCTCTTGCAAACGAGCCTTGAATTTCTCGCTGTGCGATGCTGGAACTTCTATTGCGTGCAGGTTGAAGTCCCCCACCAGAAGGACGTGACTGTATGGTCTTGTGAGGACTCCTTTCCTCGCAGATGCTAGGCATTGATCCATTTTCAAGGTAGACATTGGAGGGCGGTAAATTATTGCCAGTAAACACAAATCACAACGTCTTAAGTGCATACGACACCAGAGAGAAACGACGACTTTCGTTTCTGCGTCCTCAATGACATCAACATACAGGTCGGATCGATACTACAGAAGCACTTCCCCTCCTCTGTTAGGTCGATCGTTTCGTATGGAAGTCATGCCGGGTAGTGCAATCTCAGCATCCGTGATCTCCGTGGTCAGCCATATTTCGGTAACCATATCTAGGTACCAAGGCGTGGAGATCTGACGAATACGAATTTCGGTTAGCTTGCTGAGAACTTGTGCATTGGTATACAAGCAGCTGAGGGCATCTGTGGTCAGAAGCGTATTTGTGGATGCATGTTTCCGGTGAGGGTCTATGCCGACCCTTGAGGGGTCGGCTGCCGGTCGTTTTTTGTAGGACCAATGACGCAGGCTCTAGGGCCAGGTCAGTTTGTTGTATAGAGTTCTCAGCGCCAACAAGAAGGTGACCATGCTGTACTTCACCTGTATGTGTGGCTTGGCATTGTTTCCGTTCTGAGCTACACGGTGACCGAATTATATTGGCAAGTTGCATGCTCAGTGTAACAGTGTCTGTCTGTGGTCCGGTGTCTATTGCCATTATACGTATTTCGGATGGCAGCAGTTTACGCGTTTTGTGCCACACTTTGATCACTGTTCTGCCATCAGTTTGGAGTGCAGTGCCACTTTTAGCACTCGGGGACAACACCCTTTGTAGTTAGGTGCTAGCAGTAACCATGATGTCGAATTTGCGATAACATTTGCAAGTGAGAGTACTTCAAGAATAAAACGCCATTCATCCCAGTCATGCGCTTTGACCTCTAGCTCGCTTAGTGCCTGGAGCTCGGGGACATCGTGAACAAGGTTAGATTTTGCGTTTTGTTGTTTACGGAAGTCATCCGGATTTTGTTTGCGTTTCTGGCGTTCGCTCCAAGGAACATCTGGAAATATTCGAACAGTGCATGTGGTGGTACGGAGGCGAGTGGCTGACAAGAGAACTGCCTCTGCACCATTACCTGACCGAATTAGTATCTGGAGTAACCGCGGTTTACCGTAGTGTACAGAGTTTG